AGGGGGACTGACATCTCAGTAGGACATGATCTACTTCATGGGAATCACCCTGGAAATAACAATTTTTTCTTTTTCATTCTGAATAGATATGAGTGGAAAAAAAACCTTCAGAGATGATAGTTAAAAATCAATCTGCCTAATCAAAGCCATGAACAACCTGGCAGATATTTGAAGTTGGCCCAGCCATGAATGGGAGTTGGTCTTTCTGAGGTCTGTTCCATCCCTGGTTTGAAGCCATTCATCCATCACTCCAGTTCAAGTGTCCTGCACCCTCACCTTCTACACATTGCCCAAGAGCAGAGAGCAACAGTATTGCAGAAGAGGCACACTTTACAGTTTCTTGCAATTAAACGTCTCTTTCCTTTGTGGTTAAGCTCACGATCAGTGAAGATGATTAGGGAAAGGAGCATTATGTTGTATGGGTGAAGTCAAAAGGTTGTGGTAAGGTCTGTCTTGAGTCAAATTTAGATGAGGAGAAAATGTCTTTCACAAAGACTGACTCACAATAAGAGATGACCCTGCCTGTCCCGATCATTGTCTGTAGATAATACCTGCGGTTTTGTCATGAGGTTGACCTCAGCTCTGTGGCTAACTAGAAAAACTAAGAATAGTATTTCTAAATGCCAGTAGTCGATCTGGAGCCTTTCCTCCTTGATGTGCAATGTAAGAAATGGGCATCTGAAGTGAACTGTTTCCTTTCTCTAATATTTCTCTCCCAAAAAGATGGAGTTACATTACTGTCATGTGCATGGACCCTGCCTGCCTTGCTGCTTTGACTCAAAAGAGTGTTTAAGGACTCAAGGTTTACTTGGTTTTGTAGTTGTTAGAATTTCAAAGCTATGTGAGTTAATTATTCTCTCTCTTTGGGTTTGGGCTGAACTGCCTCAGTGCAAGGTTCTTGTGCCATTTGATGAGATACGGCCACATGGGAGCTGGCAGGTAAGACACAGGAGACTCATGTCCTGAAGGAGCACCAGCTGGTGGCTCTAGAGAATTCTTTAGGCTGTTTAAAATGTTACTGAACGAGTTGTGCCCCAAAAAGTAGCTGAGTAGCAACCAAAAGAGGGCTAAGGACAACCTCCATCCTTTATTGTATGTGAGGGAATACTTAGTGACAAAGAATGAGGAAAAGGCTGAGGTACTTAATGCCTTTTTCCCTCAGTCTTCAATAGCAAGACTAGTTGTTCTTTTCTTCAAGTACCCAGTCCCCTGAGTCAGATGACAGGAATGGGGAGCAGAATGAAGCCCCCACAATCCAAGGAGAAATGGTCAATGACCTGCTGCTCCACTTGGATGCACACAAGTCTATGGAGCCGGGTGGGATCCACCCAAGGGTACTGAGGGAGGTGGTGGAAGTGCTCAGCAAACCACTTTCCATCATTTTTCAGCAGTCCTGGTTAATTGTGGAGGTCCCAGTGGGCTGGAGGTTATCAAATGTGATGCTCCTCTACAAGAAGGGCTGGAAAGAAAATCCAGGGAACTACAGGCCTGTCATTCTGACCTCATTGCCAGGAAAGGTTATGGAGCAAATCACCTCAAGGGCCATCATGAGACATATACAGGAGAACCAGGGGTTCAGGCTCAGTCAGCATGGGTTTATGAAAGGGAAGTCCTGTCGATGAATCTGATCTACTTGCATGACAAGATGACTCACCTAGTGGATGAGGCAAAGGGTGTAGACATTGTCTACCTAGACATTAGTCAAGCTTTTGATACTATTTCCCTCATCATCCTCCTGGAGAAACTGGCTGCTCATGGCTTGGATGGGAGTAAGCACTGCTGGATAAAAACTGTCTGGATGACTAGGCTTAAAGAGTGGTGGTGAATGGAGTGAAGCCCAGTTGGCAGATGATCACAAGTGGTGTTCCCCGGGGCTGAGTGTTGGGGCCAATTCTGTTGGGGCCAATTCTGTTCTCAATGATCTGGACAAGAAGATTGAGAGCACCACTAGTAAGACTGCAGATGTAACCAAGATGGGTGAGAGTGTTGATCTACTTGATGAAGGCTCTACAGAGGGATCTGGACAGGTTGGATTAATGGGCTGAGGCCAATTATATGAAGTTCAACAAGGCTAAGTGCTAGCTCCTGCCCTTGGGTCACAACCCCCCCAGCTAGTGCTACAGGCTTGGGAAGGAGCGTCTGGAAAGCTGTTTGGCAGAAAAGGACCTGGGGGTGTTGGTTGAGAGCAGCTGAAGATGAGCCAGCTCTGTGCCCAGATTTCCCAAGAGGTCAGTGACATGCTGGCCTGTATCAGAAAAGTGTGGCCATCAGGACCAGGACAGGGCTACAGATGTGAGGAAGGGTCTGGAAAACAAGTCTTGTGAGGAGTGGCTGAGAAAACTGGGGTTATTTACCCTGGAGAAAAGGAGGCTGAGGGGAGAACTCATTGATCTGTAACTGGAGTAACTACCTGAAAGGAGGTTGTAGTGAGGTGAGGCTCAGTCTCTTCTCTAAAGTAATGGGCTATAGTACAAGAGGAATTGTCCTCAGCACAGGTTGCCCAGGGATGTCGTGGATGCCTCTGCCTTGCAAATGTTCAAGGCCAGGTTGGATGAGACTTTGAGCACCCTGTTCTAGTGGGAGATGTTCCTGCCCATGATAGGGGCTGGAACGAGGTGACCTTTAGGGTTCTTTCCAACCGAAATCAGTCTATAATTCTATGAAGTTGCACAAGGGAAGGTTTAGATTGCATATTAGGAAGAAATTTTTCACTGAAAGGGTTATTAAGGACTGGAAAAGGCTGCCAAGGAAAGTGGAAGAATCATCATCTCTGATGGTATCTGAAAGACTTGTAGATGAGGTGCTTAGGTACGTGGTGTAGTGGTGGACCTGACATAGCCATGTTAACAGTTGGAAGGTCTTTTCCAATCACAGCAATTCTATGATCATCTTCCTAATCAGCACACTGCTGGTGTCAAAGTAGCTGTTGCCATCAGGTCCAGGTATCTTTCTCCTTGAGCATTGTGGATTCCCTGAAGTAAGGACCTTTATGCAAAACAAGAAAAGATAAAGTGTGAAGAAGAAATGAGGCAGGATCAGCAGAGGTTATACCGGTGAGTGGAGGGACTAGTGTATCTGTGGAAGAAAAACCTGGAGAACAAAGCATGAAAAATAGGGCAGTTGTGATCTCAGCTGCAGGGCAGCAGATGGAACTGGAGCTGGAACTGAAGAGAAGGGAAGTTTGAGGTGATGATTCGGGAGCTGGGTCCTTGTATGAACAGTAGACTCTGTCACAGGTCCCTAAGACAACTGGTACAGCATTGTTCTGTAGAAGTCTTTCTCCGCCCTAGTTTAACAGGGTCCCATGTGAGGAGCCCTGGCACGTGGCTGTGTGTGTTAGTTTGTCTTGTGAAATGGAATAATTTTCCAGAAGGCCTCTTTGATTGCTTTGTTGCGCAGGCTGTAGATTAGAGGGTTTAGGGTGGGAGTCACCAGAGCGTACACGATGTTCACTGCTCTGTTTTTCTTCTGTAGTGGAGTGCTCATGGGCTGGATATAGACATAGATGATGGTGGAGTAGAAAAAGCCAACAGTAGCAAGGTGTGAGGAGCAGGTGGAGAAGGCTTTCCACTTCCCTGCAGAGCTCTGGATTTTCAAGATGGTGATGATGATGAGACAATAAGAGAGAATGACCAGAAGGAAGTTTCCCATACCTAAGACAATGTCTGACATGTAAACCATGATCTCGCTGAGATAGGTTGAGCTACAGGACAGGGCACGGACCGGGGGTAACTCACACAAGAAATTTTGGACTAAATTTGGCCCACAGAAGTCCAGCTGTGCCACAAGAAGGGTGTTGATGAGGGAGTCCCCAGCCATTAAAGAGATGCAGGTTCTCTTGCTCATCATGGTTACATAGTGAAGGGGCCAGCAGATGGCCAGGTACCGGTCACAAGACATGACTGTTAACAGGGTGAGCTCTGCTGAGCCTGAGAAGGTGAAGGTGTAGAGCTGTGCTATGCAGCCCTCAAAGGAGATGGTGTTCTTGCCCACGATCAGGTTCGCCAACATCTTGGGCAGAACTGAGGAGATAGCCACCAAGTCAAGGACGGCCAGGTTGGAGATGAAAAAGTACATAGGGGTGTGCAGGGGTGAGTGGACAACGGTAGCTAGAATGACAAATGAGTTGCTGAGGATGGCAGCTGAGTAGAGGCACAAACACATTGCAATAGAGAGACCCTGGTTGTCAAAAACACCCTCCAGGATGAAATCAGAGACCTTGGTGAAATTCTGTGGATGCATTTGCATTTGGATGTCCCCTGCATGGGAATAGAAATAAAGAGATCACTGCATCATGGCCAGAACATATTCAAGACAATGTTAAAAACAGAGAAGGAGAGAGACACAGATGTGGTTCCAAAGTCAAAGATTTCCCTGATCCCTCAAACAAACTAAAATCCCAGAATAGAGAAAATATTCAGTGTAGAAGGAGAGTCACATCAGTACTTTAAAAGAATGGTAGGTATTACAATAATAATGAGATAAATAAGATAACTTTTGAATGTAGTTCTTCAAAAGATAACAGAACATATTTTCCACCCCAAAAATAGTGTCAGAGACATTTTAAAGTAATCACATTGCATAGTGGATCTTCTCTGACTCTTCTCAGATGCTCAGATGCTAAATTCTACCAGGGCTGTTTGGGTACGAAATGAATCTGCATTTGACTTAAAGAAAGACCTTTCAGAAGTGAGAGTGAGGAGATCTTCCCAAATGTGATTGTTCCTAGTAGATTTCAAATAGTTCTGTCTGCTCCATCCAATCTTGAGTATCCAAATCTTGCTTGAAATTCTATTCTAAATGACCAAGAAGAGGGTCAGACCATGAGGTGCAATAAGAAGTTACAGTTTCTGCTTTGTTGTCTAATGGCACAGGATTAGATCTTCACCTCATCTTGTGCTTCCACTTGATCTGAAAACAGACTCGCCTGGTTTCCCCTTCCATTAGTTTCAGTGGAGAGAAACTGACTCTTCTACAGCCTCAGTCATCTCTTGATGAAGTTACAAGGCTAAGAAGGTTCACCTGGGTCACCACACAGAGGCACCAGCCCTTCTTCTCCCATCTGGATTAAAGTTTAGCTCAGAATTAGGTGACTAACTTGGGGTTGAACGAGTCTCCAACAATCATGTTTTTCACACAATCTTAAGCATTACTGGGATGAAGAAGTGTGGAGCAAGTCTCTCTTCATTTTCCATTGGACTAAAGGTGGCGATGGAAACATTTGTGACATTAAGTATTAATTTAAAACTGTTAGTTCTCTTTACCTATAACACTGGAAGGGTCAGACATGTATAGAACATGGATATAATTTATTGTTGCATTATTAGACCCAGTGAAGAATACACAAAAGGGAAAGCAGCAAAGACAATAGAAAAGGAGCCGGCAACAAAGGTTTAATAGTCTCACCTTTCAACAGAAGCACAGACAGGGTTCAGAAGCCTTTCTCACACAGTATCTTAAAATACACCCCATCTATCAAGGTAGTTTCTTCTGGAGATTTCTCCTCCCTCATGAATGTAGCCTAAAATAGGCTCAAAAACCTGCCCCAAGAGGAGGAGCCAAGGGCTGGAAATTTAGCACTGAGGCATGACCTGCAAGAAGTAAAGAGAATGCCCAGTGGAGTGGGACTCAGATGGCTTTGTTAGCTAAATTGGCTGATAGGGGAGAAGTTTCTGCTTGTTTTCCCTCCTTGGCCACACTGGTACCAGTAAAGCTGATTTCTGCTCAAAACTTCTGTTTGTGATTCTTGGGCTTGCAAACTAACAGTGCCCTGGGCTGTGTCCTGAGGAGCATAACCAGCAGGCTGTGGAGGGCAATGTTTGATCCCTTCTACCCAGCGCTGCTTAGACAGACTGTGGAACAGTGCCTCCAGTTGGGGTTCTCCACTGTAAGAAACTTGTTCCAACACAGGGGTGGGTCTGGTGGTGATGACCCAGGGGGTAGAAGAATACACTATTTAGTGAGATTCAGGGAACTGAGTTCCTTGATCCTGGAGAACAGAAGACGTAGCGGAATCTTGTGGCAGTAGCCTGTCCAGTCCCAATGCAGAGGCTCCGGAGAAAACAAACACAGGTCCTTTAGAGAGGTACATGACAGGAGCACCAGAGAAGGATCACAGATTGAAAAAGAGGACGTTCTAAGTAAATTTAATAGGAAAAAAATTGCTCTTAATATGTTGTGTTAAAAGGAGAGACACCAACTCCTGTTGCAAACAAGAGACAACAATTTTTGTTGCAAAAATGCTCAAATCAGTTTGGCAGAAGCTAAACCCCCTTGCGTTCCATATTGTCCTCAGATTTCAGAGGGGCTGGGGGACTGTAGGCTTGGGTTCTGAATGTTGCCCAAGTCTATGTTACTAACTCAACATGTCCAATTGCCTTCGATCTGGCAGTGCCCCTGGAATTATCAACAGGGACTCTCATGGCTAGATCGGAATCAAATACAATTCATTGAAGCAGCAGATACACAAATATTTTTGATTGCCTGTGATAGTGACTGACTGCAAAGCATGTGCAAAGGTTACAGATGTAATAGATTATGAGCAGCTCTATAAAGATTTCCTAAGTATCCTGGGGCAGCACTTGGTGAGACCAAGTGTTCAGACCTTACCCAAAGGTGTCCCTGTGGGGGAGAAGAGAGGCTCAGCTCATCGACTGATCCCAGGAGTCAGAGGTGGTCTTTGGTGGCATCTCTCCTGATGGTGGTGACATCTTCCTGTACGTTACCCCTCTTTTGGGCCATTTTATATTATTTTTTACCTTTCAGGTGTAGCTTTAGTGGCTCTAGTCATGCATATCTTTGCTGTGACTGGTTTAAATTTTCCTCTCTTTGCATTTAAATGTATAGACAAGCTCAGTGAAGGGTGGTCGCATCTCAGAGGGGGTGGCTTTTGGGATCGGGGCATGTTTTGGTATTATAATGAGATTATAATGAGCATAGTTCACCCAAAGGACAGCATCTATCAAAAGATGACAGACTCTTGGCTTAGGACAGTAAATGTGCAGTCAACCGACTCCTTGACATCTCCAGGTTCCTTTGTGTTCACAGAGCTTGACCATGGTATCTCCACTCCCTTCCACCCTCCATGGGATTTTTCCTCAGGGACAGAACAATCAAGATTCCCCGATGCTACTGACCCCCACGTTTGTTTTGGAAACCTTTGTGGGGAAAGCTCCTTATGCGCCAGCTGCACATTGTACTGGAAACTTTCTCAATGCTCCAATATATGAACAATGCTATATAAACATTAAGTATTTTTATATGGTTATCCCATATCAAATGCCATGAGAATGGTTAGTTTTTTGAGGCCTAAGTGCTCTGGCAATGTTTTAGCCAAGGTGGTTGCCTTGCAGTTAGAAACAAAGTTTAGGCAGAGGTGCCTTAATCCCACAGAAAGTACTTATGCGTTGAAAGTGGTCCTTAGAACACCATATTCGGAGGCTTGCATGATGTGACTGGGCTAAGCCTTGAGAAACCTGGTCTGACCTGAGTGTTGAACCTGGACTGAGCATGAGGTGGTAATAAATGGCTGCTAAAGCTCCTTCATGGCTGGGTGATTCTGGAAGCCCACAGTTCCTCCATGTCCTTTTGCAGACAAGTCTTCAAAATAGCAATGTCTCGTGCAGCAGGCTCTCATGAAAACAATCTGCTTCCTGGCTGTAAGGAACTGCTCGGATGTCCAGCTCGATTGATGTGGAATTGGGTGGGGAGGTTGGCTGGGCCCCAGCCTCCACTATCTCTGTGAGCCACTCCAGGGGTGACTCTTCCACCTGGTCTGAGAACAGCAGGCATCCACACTGCTTTCCTTGCAACAGGGAGGCACACACAGCTCCATCTCCCTTGCTCAGAGCATGGAATCTCAGGAGTGACCTCTGCTCCCCAGAGTAGGTGGGAGAGAACGTATCGAGCTCCCCCTGGGGGCAGATGAAGAGTGAGTTGAGAGCTTGTGGGAAGGGGTTAAGAAGCAGGTCAATATGGGAGAC